GGCGGCCCCCCCCCCCGCCGCGCTGCCGCTCACCTACGGCCTCACCGTGCTGCACGGCGTGACGCTGGCGGGCAGCGCGGGCAACCCGTGCGGCACCTTGCAGCAGGCGTGGGCGGGCGCCGTGCGGCCCCGCGCCGCCGCTCTCCGCATCGGTGCCCAGTTCGCCGCCGCCGCGCTCGCCAGGGGCTTCATGCAGCTCGTGTGGAGCCTGGGGGCGGCCGAGGCGCACGTCGGAGCGCGCTGGCAGCGCTGCGGCCACCCGCTGCAGACCACGGAGGCGCAGGCCTTCTTCATAGAGCTGCTCTTCTCGGCCGTTTTCCAGCTGGCCGTGCTGCGGGTGGACTCGATCCCTCCCAACTTCAGAGTCCATTTCATTGCTCTGCTCATCACCATGCTCGTGTATTCAGGTTAGTCTTTTTATTCCCCCTATATTTCCACCATCAAATAGTTATAGTAATCTTTCTTTTTCATTTAGAATGCGAGGATCATGTAGCATTCTGTAGGGGGAAATATATATTTCCTAATCTATTTTTTTATTTCCCCCAAAAAAGTCTTTGATCCTGCAAATGCACTGCCCAAGCAGAGGTCATGTGCAGCTTACATAAACTTTGCCTCGATAGATTCAGCTACGTGATTGTGGCTAAGAATGGAGTGAGTTGCATGTTCCAACCATACGAAATCTGCAGGTAATACGGCTGATAATTTCACTGAGCTCTTGCGGAGATACCTTGGTGAAAAATAGTTTCATAATCTGACCTCATATTGCATTAGGCGTTTCATGCAAGGTGTGCTGCAGTGTGTCCCGGTCCCAAAGGGCACCGTGAGAAAGTGCCGCCGTCTGCACAGGGGAAAGGATGGTTGTGCAATGTCCCTGTGCAGACCTGTGACCTGTATGTGCCACGTTTAAACAGCATGTAACTTATATTGGTGACATCTACCCTGGTCAGCCTTCGCTAATTCAGACACAGGAATGAGCATTTGTGGCACACGGAGAGATACAGTAGTTTCTGAGCACCCATGAAACCAAGTGTTCAAACAAAATTGTCAGGTGCCTGTTATATCGTGACATCTACTGGCATCCTGGTTGCCTTGGCCTCTCTCCCACTTCTTACCCCTCTGGTTGGTGTTACCTGCACAATTTCTTTCCACTCTGTTGGTGCCCCTTGCACTCTGCAGCGCAGAGCTTTTACCTACATCCCATTGCTTCAGAGTGGCCTCCAAGGGGGTGGGTTGGGCTGGGAGGACAATTCTATATGTTGGGATACCGGGAAATGAAAGAGGGACAGGTACAGAGCTCATTGTACTGGGTGGTGCTTCAGCTGCCACTGCAGAGAAAGTCACTGAGAGGGGGACAAAACTTCCTCATCTGTGGATGTCTGGAGTACCTTGACTCCTTGTCTTGAAGGCTTTGCTATATTTAACATAGGTACATAGAATACGGCAGAAGTTTCAGATGTGTAAAAGATCCTTACGCATAATGTTTAGCTGAAAGAATAAAAAGAAGAGGTCCATAGAGAATTTATATAACTAATTTGGTAATTTGAACTACTTTTTAAAATTATTTTTTGAGGCAGAGGCATTTATAGCACACTGAATGTATTCCTAAATTGCTCAGTTAAAGCGTAGCCAAAGATTATACTGCCTCTTCTAGGCACATAGAAAGCTGGATTCCTGATTAACATTCCTTTGGTGCTTAGCAAACAGTCCTGAAAATAATGCGTGTCACGTTGCCTTTCTCTTAGCTAGTTCCCCTAGTGAATTTATGCCTGTGTTGTTGGCCAGGCTGGCCTCATTCTAGCAGAAGGCTGAGTACCAGGGCCCCTTCCTTGTTGCCTTTTTGGGCTTAATGCTACCAGTGCACTCAATCTGCATATACTTCTAGGAAACAACACATCTTCTGAACCCAGGCATATTCCATATGCAGTTTCACTATGTTGTATCATCTGCATAAGATCTTGCACTTTCTGGACATTTTCCTTTTCTTTTTAATCTAGTATCAAAACTGCTGCAAAATACTTCCAGGAATAAGATCTAGCACCTGTTTTTGCCTCCTTATGAGTGAAATCTGATTCTTTTCTGTGCACTCTGCTCTGGACTTTTTAAGATTCTGTGATTCTTGGCTGTACTCTCAGGTTCAAAAGGGAAGGTGAGATTGCATTCTTCCCTTGCAAGAGTTGGGAGCCCTCCCCAAATGTGGATTGAAGCTTCTTGAAGTTAAGGATGTGAAACCCAAGATTCTTATCACTGAGCTATTACACAAGAAATGTGGGAACACTGCTGTGGCTGTCACTATCTTCCTATGATAAGATGACAGAATTTTATCTTTTTAGTATATTTTACAGGTTCCCAAAGTTTTGTTTTTGTTCCTCCTTCCCCTCTGCCTACATCAAAACATTCCCTTCTCCCATGCCCTCACTTCTGAGGGCTGCTGAAGGATGCCTTCCCACACTTGCTCAGCACATCCTCCTGACAGTCTCCAGAGTAGCTATAACTGCCAAAAAAAGATCCTGCAGTCTCAATTCCCATTCTGGGGGGGGATTCCCTTGTTCTGGAAAACTGATGCCTGACAAGTGGCTTAAGAGATAAGTGCTTCACAAGGGTGGTCAGGAGAGTGAATTTCTGCATTAGGTGTTACAGACAAAAACTCCAGCAGAAGAAGTTTGGTATATGGTCATTGAAGGCAGGCAGGTACTTAATTGGACCGTATCATTCTCAGGAAATGTTTTGCACCTCTTTACTGACTTTTTATAAGGAACTTGAGCACTTTCTTTAGGAAGAATGAATCTTCTTTTCTACTCAACCAGTGCCAAAAGGCTAGGCAACCAGCACTAAATTTAGGCAAAGCAATGCTGAGTTAGACAAGTTGGTAATATCCTTGCTTCTTTTAAAAATACTGCATGGTTTATAATATCATATGAAGAATGGTTTTTCAAACTTCAGCTTGAAAGATACAGTGTCCTAGGTAGGAAGTCCAAAAGAAACTTAGAAAACAAATTTCACATTAATGGTTTCCTTTCATACTTTTTAAAATATGAAACAAATAAAAACATAAACAAAACATAAAAACAATTTGTGCTTTTAGAACCTGCATTTATTCACTTACGAAGGAACCAGAAATATTAGAAAGCACGTATATCATCATATGTCAGCCTAGGGTTTATATTCTAGTTCGATATGTTTAAAAGCTGTACCCTGAAGGAGGAAAGAAACAAAAAAAAAGGCTGTATTCTTGATTGTAAAAAGGAATTTCTCTTATTTCATATCAAATCTGGCTTGGGTAGAATTTTGAAATATAGCCATATTCCTAAGGCTTATGCCCATCTAAAGTAATTGATGTACTTAAACGGCTGGAAAACATTAAACCGTATGTTTTACAGTTGACTGAGATCAATTGACAGGAAAAGTGTTGGTAGGTTACTGCTACATGTGCCCTTTTAAAGTTGCTTGGATATACCATGCAAATCATTCCAAAAATAACATTAGATGGCAAAGTAAATATTTGCAGAATTAAAAACTGTCCCTGTAGCTTTTCTTCTGCAATTTCTCTTTCATGGCTATAAATACTGTGCCTTTTTTTTTTTTTTTTAATTTGGTCTTGCACAGAAAACAGTTTTTATATAAGTACATATTGTACACAAAGCTCCAATTCCATGCACAATCCATTCTTTTTTTCTACTGAATAAAGGGGAAAAAAGAGATGATTCTGTCTTTAAGTGTTAACGGAATATATTAGAGGCTAAGAATGCAGGCCATATGACTGTTCATAAAGGAAAATCTGAGGAAATTCCTTCGAGAAAAGTAGAGAAAGAAGAACATCTTTTTAGGGCTTTTTCATTTACAGGCAATATTACAAAGAAGCGAGAAATGCATGAAATAGATGTTTCTGAGCCAAACATGTCAAGATAAAAATGTCAAATATATTTTTTATATTTTTTGATTTCCTAATTTTGCTTTTGTCTCTAGTAATTTTAAAATAAAAATTGCCTTCTCACACACTGTGCTGGAACACACATTAGGTTTATATCAGCTATGTCAAGGATGTTACACTTTTTTTCCCATCAAAGGGAAAGGGAATTTCTCTATCTTGAGGGTGAAATTCTGCTCCTGGATGTGTTTTGTTGCATGTAGGAGTACGAGGAGTGAATTTATACATGGAGGGAAGCAAATTGTTACATGGCCTTTCTAGCAGTAGCGGAAGTTGTTAATATGTCAAGATGCAGAAGAACAGAGTGCACAATAAGTCTGAATTACTATGGAGAACAAGTGTCAAATCAGAGTGAATTGAACAGGTCAAGGAAGGTTAAAACTTTCCCAAATTGTAGTAATGGGAAAAGAAATAATAAGGAAATAAAAAGAAATAAAAAGAAGAAAAGAATAAAATGACAAATAACTGAAACTTTGAGGAAACTTTGGCTATTACAGAAGCATGAGATTTGTACAAATGGCAAGTTCAAAGCTCACACTAGCTTCTTAAGCCTGTGAAAATCAAGCATAAGCTTTAAGAAAGTCAAGTTAATTTAATTAGGCAATGATACTGTATAGAAACAGATTGACAGATAAAACAGACGTGGGCAGTTAGTAAATAATAGTACAGAACTATAGAAAATTGTTTTTATTATTGCTGCTTTTTCAGCAAGATTGCAATGACAGGAGCAACATGTCAAAATTAAAAACGCTTACCTCCAGGTTCATCTGTGATATAATTATAATTTACTAATTATTTATATATAAATTATATGAATATATGCATATATTTTTATGTATATATTTAATTCTGACATTTCTAAAAGCATTAGATAGATTATAAGCAACACAGCATAACAGTAGCAAGGCAACTTATGGTCTTATCAGCAGAAACATTAGCCAAATCCATATCTTTTATCTTTCTAGCAGATGTTGTTTGAGGAAAGTGCAGCCTGTGCTTCAGTTATTTAAAAACTTGTTTTAGAAAACTACCCAGTTTCATATTTTATTGTTTGGTGAATAACAATTAAAAAAAAATTCTCTCCAAATATTTTCTGCTAATGCGTTTTATTGCACAGTGTGCATTTCTTCTTTCATTTACATTGCATTTACATTTCAGAAATTAATTTAACATAAGTATATGTTGAAAAAGATGGTTTGATTCATGCTGTTTACCTTTTATTTCAGGTGGAAATCTCACAGGAGCAATATTTAACCCAGCATTGGCCTTTTCATTACATCCATATTGTTTCTATGAGAATTTTTTGAGTTATTCGCTAGTATATTGGCTAGCGCCATCCTTAGGTAAGTTCTTAAAACTATTTTCTACTTTGAGAAAGTGTTATTTAGTACAGGGTTCAAAAATTAGGAATTAGGTATTCTTTATTTCATAGTCTTCCAGTATTCATAAAATCCACAAGATGCTTAATTATAATATGTGTACAAGTCATTCTGATTTGTGGTTTCCTTTTGCAAATGTAGGCTGCGTATTTTAAACATGTTTGATGGTTTGTGTAGGGTTCCTATGACTTAATAGTCTGTTTTGCAAACCAAAGTTAGATGATTACTCAGTTTATATGGGGTAATTTGAACAGCATCACTTATTGTACCTAGCAAAACAAACAATGGGATAATTTTAAATGGGAAACATTTAGGTTAACTAGTAAGTTATAAACCAGTGGCTATTTACTTTGGAATGTGGTCCATTTGGAAAAGCCTGTTGATACGTCAGTATAGAATCCAGCCTGTTTGAGGTATGATGGGTGTTCTCACATTGACCAAAAGCCCACCAATTATTAGCCAGACCTGTGCATGCTAGCAGAATCTTAAGGGGAAGAAGCCACTTCAAAGCAAATGCCAACCTGATAAAGCTCAAAAATAAATACAAATTGGTTAGCAGGCAGTCAGTTTCTATCCTGATTTGTGACGTTATATAAGAGTATAGTTTTTTTTTTTTTTAGATATTAGGGCAAGTGCTTAAAATAGGCCATGTCAATAATTATCACTATAAAATCAAATCTTTTTCATCTCCCTAGTGTCTAGACTTTGGAGTCCCCATTCTATATCCCCCTTCCTGCCAATCACTATTACAAATAATTTGTTTTACATCTAGGAATAAAGAATGCATATTTGAGTAATTAGAATTTTTCCAACTTAAATCCCTGTTTCAGTTTGGAACTTAATGATTTAAAATTTGGCTCAGTTCAGATAGAAATGCTTCAAGTAACACTGTTTATTGTTTATAGTTACTTTTACTAATCTTCAGCCTTGTGCTTTGAGGTCACATTAAGGAGCCAATTAACTAATCTCAAGTTCTTTAATGACTGTTAATCCTGCTAGAAGATGCAACAGTAGTACAGGAAACAGGGCAAGCTCTGGAGTACATGCAAAAAACACTGCCAAGGGGTTCAGTTATAACTTCTTCATCTTCTCTGAGTGCATCTCTGTGTAAGTTTCAGTTGTAGTGACAGTCAGAATGGAGGAAATTATTTTTTAATCCATCTGAAATTCACTTTAATACAGTTTTCTCAAATAGGGCATCCAAGCAGGATGCCTGAACAACTGAGAAGGCTTGCACCATTCCAGTTAGCAGCTACTGAAATGCTTTAAGCAAAGTTGAAGGGAGCACCTATGTTCTATTAGAACATACAATTCTCAGAACTCAAGTTTAGATTTCCATGACCTGATCCATTTTGAGATTATCTGCCTAGTAAACACCCGGCCTTTGTATTTTGACAACTGACATAAGGAAATTCTTTTGCAGAAGTATTTCAGGTGATTGAGGCTTTGGTAAGAAAAAAACAGCACCTGTAGAGTCAACTGGGTATGCAACATGAATTCAGAATGTGTTAGGGAGAAAGGTTATATTTCTATGAATATTCACAAATGGTGCATTTGTGCACCATTATATATAAAGAATACATACAGGATACCTTGAATGCTGTCTATAATTTACTAGGGAAATACATTCCAGAGAAAGTAGCTGTAAACCTGTAAACTCAGAATGGTTATGTAACTATTGTAGCAAAACATTTTGTTACAGATATTAGCTCTTTTGACCATCTGAAGGGTAGAATTGTTTATTTTAATAGGAGTATTTCACTACAAAACAAGGGATTTCATGTATACGTATACCTCATAAATCAAGAATTTTAAACAAGTGTTAGGGATCTGAGGGGGAAATACAGAGAAGATGCATAGGAATTTTGAATTGATCAATTCAGGAATGTAGATCTACAAATCTAACACCAAGTGCTATTGTCTTGTGATATATTTTGAAAATTAGAATGTAATGGGAATAAAAAGGTGGGTTTTTTTTTCTCCTTTTTTCCTTCTAGAATTGGACCAAGTGATGACATATTCAGGAAATAAACCTGTTATAATAATAGGGCTCTTATGAAAAGAATCTCTTAAAAAAAAGAACCTCCTAAAAGTAGATGATGAGGGGAAGGATGTTTAAAATGCAATTTTTAAAATCACTTTTAGAGTTTATCTGTCAATGCAAATATTGTTTCAGACTCCTAGAAACAGAGTCATAATGAGAAATTCAAGTATCCAGAACAAAATTTTAATTTGATTTCTCCCTTTTCCCAGCATCTTGGATGAAACTCCAGCTGGCCTCTGCAAAGTATAGTGCAGTCTCCTTTATAGCCATATCAAATACCCATGAGGACACAGACTAAGACCATTCAATATATAATGGATGTCCTGAACTAGTCATGAAACACTGCTTAGCTCCCTCTCTAAAACAATCTTCTTAGAAAAGATGCTTTGAACAAGAAGCAGATTGATAGTCACCTTTACAAGAGGAGAAAAGTAGAAAATTTCTTCAGCATAAGCAAATCCACTGGTGTTTTATGGTCCTTCATGAAGAGCTGTAGTTACGGAACTCATTTTTCCAAATGGTTTTACTGAAGTTTCTGTGAAGGTGATTGTAAGTAGCATCAAAACAGATGTGTTGCAGGCTATCCCGCTGACTATAGGTGGCAAATGAGGTTTGCAAAAACTGGCTGAAGTCTCATGCTTCCAGGCCCTGGTGCTCTGGAATCGTTTCAGTTATTTTATGGTCATTTGGGAGAACAGCATTGTGCCTGCAATCCAGGAAGTTCCTAAGAAAGTGTTACCAACCAACTGCAGACACTAGAAATATATATATAACTCAGCGTTAATGCCGTGCTTGACCTGCTCACAAACAAGGAAGAATTGGTGGTGAATATGGCTGTTCAGGGTCCAAAGGAAGGCTGGGAAGGTAAACAGAGCTGTTTGGACTTTGGACTTAAAGAGAACAAAATTCTGTTTACTTAGGCAAATGATTGGCAGAATTCTCTGAGAAGATGCCACAAAGAGGAAAGGTATGCAGGAGAGCTGATTGATACTTTGTTTAAGAAAGCAACTGAGAACTCAGTAACAATCTGGTGTGCGCTTAAACTGGGAATTTTGACAGGATGTTTTTCCCACTTGGCTAGACAAGGAGCTTCTCTGTGCAAAAGAGAACAAAATGAGAACATGTAAGAAGTGGAAACAAGGCCAGATAGCAAAGGAGGAGTAAAGGAGAACTTTATCAACATGTTCTTCATAATAACAATGAAGAATGATCATTAGGCTTCACAAGCTCTTCCCAACCCTTCCTTTATAAAACCTGCAGTTAGTTAGAGGACACTTTTCAGCTTCAAAATAAACCCTAAATTGGAATGATCCCCCATTAAAAAAAACCCACTGTATCGTGCCTGTTGGCAGTACATCATAACAATGCAGTTGTTATTAAAATAGACGTTGCTAGTGAACTCGACCTTATCCTAATTGCTAAGAAGTCAAGATCTGGCTGGTTGGCGTGTCACTTATACCCTGGCACAAAGGTAGCAAAGGTAGCAAGAGGAAGGTGCACAGTGAACTCATCTGGGCAAAGTTTTCCATTCTTGGCTTATACATATCAGAAGCAAAACATACTAAAACATTCAGAGAACAAAATTATCAACACTTTTGGATGTTTGAAAGGTCTACTGAAGCTTTCTTTGCAACAAATTATGTCTGTGTTTACAAAAAGTATTGACGGTCTCCACTGTATGTTAAATGCTTAAATATTTTAGCATTATGTTTATTAATTAAAGGTCTTTTTTGTGTTTTGTCTTTTCAGGCACAATACTTGTCTCTTTTGTATCAGATGAAATCCTTCCTCGGATATCTTGAGAGCGAATTCTGATCTCCAGCAATATTACATTAAAAAAAAAATCACTGAAAGAAAAGTTAAATTGCAGCCACCTGTGGAAAGGAAGCTTTCAGAAAACTTGAGACATTTATTTCTACATCTACATCAGTGTGTTTTCAGATTTTGTTTTTTCAAGTACATGACTGACTTAAGGCTTTGTATTGAAACTTTTATTTTGTAATAGCATATTGGGATATTGAGAGTATTTGCCAACATCTTCAGTCAAGCCATATGAATGTGATGAAAAGGACAGATAAATACTGAGACTTTGTCACTTTATCCATAAGTGCCATAATTACTGACCTTTACTACAACTGCATATAAAATTAATTTTAGAGAAGTACTTTTTTTCAAGTTTGATTTTTATTGGTTTCTTCCCATAGACAGAACCTGCAAAAAAAAAAAAAAAAAAAAAGGGAGCTGATCTTTCATGCTTTTAGTGACCTCTGCATATTCCTACTTGCAATATATGGCACCTTCAAGAGGAAGAAAGGCTGCACTACTCACTAGAGGAATCTTCACAGCTCCTTTCTAGAGGTACCCTATGCGAAAACAAAATAGTAGGACCAACATTGTTTTACTAATACTCATTGCAGGTAAGTAATTCCTCTCTTCCTTTGGGAAGACTGTCCCACCTTGTCTCACTATAGTGTACTGGAAGTTTATCTTAGCTGGAAGATTGTTAATAAAGTACTGATAAAATTCCACAGAAACATAAGTCAAAGTGCATTTCAGGGAAAACATAATCTTAACCTGATTACTGCTGCCTTTTCAGAAACAGACTAGACAGTATAAAGAGATGAACAATTCAGAACTTGATTTGTCCTTGATTTTACCTAGTAAGTCTTATAAGATATTTTTCTTGAAATAATTTGCTGGAGTAAGAAGAAATCTTAAAAGCATAAGAAAGCTACATTCCCCCCAAAGGGGCATGCACTTGCTCTTAGAGCCTTGGTTGAAGGGAAGAGCAGGGCTGGCTACCCTGAAGTCCTGTTTGCAGCATGAGCTTTCTTTTCTTGACTCCTGGGTAATTGTTTTATATCTGACAATAGACCAAAATAGAGTTTTCAAATTTGAGATTAAATTTAGTTTTCACCTCATAGCTACTGGAGTTGGAAGGAGATAGGGTTGTAGGGTTAACAAGACCTATATAAATATATATATATATGTCAGTAGTAGGACTCTCTACTCATTACATAAGTCATTTGAGTACCAAACTAGTATTTTAACAACTTTGTTCACCTTGCAAACCATTATTTAAGAGGGGAAGAGAACTGGACAGGGTTTTTGCACACTAAAAAAAACTGAACCAAGTCTCTAGCAGCTACCGTCCTCAGCTATCTTTCTTGAAAGAGCTTGAGAAGTAAATGATTTCATGTAATTTCTTATTTGTTCCAATAAAAGTTTTTCTAATTACAAAGAATTAAAACATGTTTAGATTATGTTGTAAAACAAAATCAAATGTTTGGACATACTTTTCATATGACTTCTGAGAATTGTGTACTTGTAGTAAGACAGTTCAGACACTTAAAGCATTATGGTCCAGTTGCAGCCTACAAAGACTCTGATAATTCAAGTCTCACACTTCTAAAACAGACTTGGCTTCTACCTATCAGCGTCAGTTGCCTTTCTGCTTTTATCAGTTTCACTGATTTTAAGATGATCCATATGTTAAGAGATTTTCCCCTGAATGGGGCTTTGCCTTTACTGCAGTTCTCAAGGCCAATTTTTAGCCCGAGTTCTTATGAAACAAGCCTTATGTAAGGAATTGGTCTGATGTGTTTATGAGGCCGGGGTGAATGTCTCAAACAGAGAAAAAGAGCTTAGGGAATGGTCAAGGAGATGAGAAACTAGACACACAAATTAACAGAAAGCCAAGTTTAGCTAGCTTAGAGAGGGACTGCTTTCATTTTATTTTCTAAGGTCTGTAAGCAAAGTCCATAAAGAGGTCAGATCTGACTTCTATATGTTGGCATTGTTTATTTGTTTTAGTATAGCATAGAGTTTAAAAAGAAACTTAAATTACATCCAAAGTGGGGAGATTAGTAACATCTCTATTTATAGTCACTCGAAGTAGAATCGTTACGGATTGGACAGGCCTTAAATCAACTAAATTAAGGCAAAACAAAAGCAAAAAAAAAGTCATAAAAAAGAATGAAAAATAAAACTATGTTAAGAATTAATTTATAAAGTAGCCAATACTTACATATTTTGACATAGTAAAGGTTGCTTTTTGGCAGAAAATTCACAAATGGTCTAAGCACAGAAGTTTTAAAGCTATATCTCCTAAACTCCCCTAAGACACTATTTCTCAATATTATCTTCGGATTTCATCCAGAGCTGTTTCTTCCCCACTGAAAATTAATAGTAGTCTGTTAGTTTAACAGGGAGCATGGGAGCTCTGTATTCATACAACTATTGCTACAGTCTGGACACAGAGGAACTGAAATACTAATGCTACAGGTTAACTCTGCCTGTCTGCCAGCATTCCTAACAGATACAGTTTATGAAAAGCAACAGAAACACATTTCAAGAACTGAGACTGAGGCAAAAACCAAGTTTGAATTGCTATCGGTTTCATGAAATTTCTTTCCTGAACGACAGGGGTGGTAGTTTTTTAGTCCTGCTTAGCTATCCCAAATCTCACCATCTCAAGGTTCTCTAAAGGGTAGTGCAGAAGTTCAGGCATTGCTTTGTGCCCTCCCTTCTAACTCTCTACCTTAAAAATCCATATATGCATTTATATAAAATATATACATATATGCATGCAATCAGAGTAGTAAAGCACTAATGATGGGAGAATACAAGTCAAGTCTGTGTGGTACCTCCTTTTTACTCAATACCAAGAAGGTTTGAGAGCCAGATGGATGTCGGTTTAGGTCTTAGTCAAACCTTTCTCTTCTCTGTAACTCCCCGTAAACAGCTCTTTGACCTCAGTGCTTTAGCTCATCTAGCTCATTTCTGGGAGGCTCAGCAGAGAAACAAGTGCATAACAGAAAGGCCATTTACTGTGGTTAATTTTACAGGACTTTAATGTCCCTTTCAGGTCAAAGCAGAACACTAGTAAGAGAGTAACTGGTATTTCTGCAGCTCTAGCAGGGAGCTCCCACAGGACTGAGCCGTCGTAGCTGCCTCCATTTGGGATATGTCACAGTAAGACTAATTCTGTCTTATAGAGACAGTGCGAACATACTCTGCTCATTTAAATTTAACTACATGTGAGAATAAAGTCCAGCAAAGCCATTTTTCATCAAAAGGAGTACCTGCTCAGAGTTCCCAGCTACTTGCTGAAAGAAATGACTGAGGCTTGCAACATAGTTGGATTGTGAGATACAAAAATCTTAGTTTATTTAACAATGTTAACATTTAATACAAAGACACAAAGCATTCTCACATTCAAGACTTTACAGATTTTATTCCACCTTCTCCACTACCCAAACTGCTCTCAAAGGAAGGACAGGGAATAGCACTAGACAGATAGTTACTTGAGGGGCTTTGAATTTCACTTTGCTTTTACTCCTTGGCCAATCTTACTTCACTTTAGCAAGACTTTGCCACATTCCTATTTTCATTCTCCTCCCTTGACTCAATGAACAGGTTAAAAAAATATGGACAATTCTAGGACAATCTAGAATTCTGTTCTACTTTCAATTTTATTTCTGAAGTCCTAGAACTCCTAAAAAGGCTTCTTTGAAACAAGACATCAGTAGCCCCATTCAAGTGTTAGATGCAAGAGGTTTTATTGTGTTTTTTTTTTTTTCTTTAATAAACCCATAGTGGTCATGAATGTCAAACCCTGTTTTTAAACATCTATAAAAGCATTTATAGATCTAGATGTCTATGCGTAGGTCATTAAAAGAAAGATTAACTTCCCATAGTCACTGCAAGGTCTTCAGTTTTACAGCTTATTCTGGAAGTGCCCCAAGAAGAATCTGAAAGACACAAGACACTGGGTTTACATAACGGGCATTAATAAATGTAAGTTTATTAATCTTTACAAAGTAGCAGCCATCTGATACTCACGGTCACACAGGACAATAATTTACTTCAAACTAACTAGAGGATTAATTTTCAGAGGGCTTGAGCACCTTTGCTTTTGACAGCACATCTGAATAAGGTCAGCCAAGGACAGGGCACATCTACAATCAACAGTTGCACGTCTGTGTCCTGGAAGACCCTCTCATACCCCACACGGATGCACTGCTTAGTTCAGAACAAGTCACTGGAACCGTGTGATGCGACAGACAAAACACTGCTTGTTACAAGACTAATAGAAATGTCACCAACTGCCAGCAAGTCCTCCAGCAGCTTCATCACGCAGTGTCACATCTCCTTTGGGTAATGAGCAGCAACGCACAACACTAGTTGCTTTAGAGACAGAGCAGCGCTCTGCTCTCCAAACTATCACCAGTGAGATGTTCCTAAAATGCTGGTTTTGCTGTTCAGAAAGTTAAAAGGATGGAGCTGCTCCTGAGATACCAAGAAGATCTCTGTACACTCCCTCTCTGCCCTGCTCTCAGCATGTAGACCCAAGCTGCCTTCACGTTCATTTGCGGGATGATTAGCACAGACCTCAGAGCTGTCCTTCTCATGGTGCATCTTCAGTGGATTATCCTAGATTTTCCTTACATTACATCAGCACGATGATGCTGGTGGCTGATTGGAAGAGGCCTGTCCTGCACACAGATCTTGACCATGTCATTGTAACCCATGACACTGCACATGCAGGTCACTTTATCCACCCTGACAAGGATCAGCGCCTTAGCTGTGATCAGCAACAGCTTAGAAGCAGGCAAAAAATGAACAAACCAACCAAACAACAACAACAACAAAAAAAAATCGCACAACCATCCGTATGTATTTAACTCCTGCAACATTCGTTTCTCACAACCATCTGCTGCACCGCTTAAAGCATGTAACAAAGAGCAAGAAAAATCTACCTAAAAGTCAATCCTTCAGATCTGAAGAGTCCCCCTTATATTTTAAAGTATATGATTTATCAAATAAAGCACAAAGGGAGTGCCACTGGAAACCACATCTGTAAACTGAGCAAAGAAAAGCACAAATTCTCACAACAAAGGATAAGTACAAATTCAGGACCAATGACAGCTGTTCAGATCCATGAGCAAACACAGGGATACTCAGAGAGCTTCAGAAATGCAGGAGTATTGAGGGCAGCAACAAAGAAAAATAAGATGTGGGGAAGAAGGAAAGCAGACACACAGGCCCTCTCCCAAACTTAAGTCCTTCTTAGCAAAGGACTTAAGGACTTCATTTCTACAGCCTCTTTCTCCTTCCTACCTGTGCCCTTTCTTCCTCTGCACTCCATCCCTTTCAAGCATTCTGCTCAAAACCTTCAGTGTTTACAGCGGGATAGTTACAGCAGCAGGAGCTGTATTCTCACCTCCGAGCGAGCCCCGAGAACAGGGCCCGGGTGCTGCCGCTTGAGCGGTGCGTGTCAACTGCTCAAGCAGGGTTGAAATTAGATCTCCAGCGGGCCTCTATGTCCCCATGAAAAGAGTCCCAGAATAAGCTGTTAATCCTCTTCGCCCCAGCACAGATTGGGAAACACTGGCACATCTTGTAACGCCGCTGACAGTGGATAAGGAGGACAGGTGATGGGGGGGCAAAAAGTTCTCTGCTAACAACCATCCCGTGCAAAGAGCCTGATAACTTTACCAGGAACCGTTCCTGCTCCGCTTGCAGGGAAAGAAGAGAGGGACTTGCAACACTGCACATTTTTTTTTTTTCCTCCCGAAAGGCCTGGGAAATCTTGCAGACTAAGGGTGAAATAACAGATACTAAGGACAGTAACTTTCCAGCAGGGCTCCAGGATTTACATATGGGCATCCAGAAACCTTTCTGACAGCAGGTGATTCTTAACCCACTCAATCTATGATCTGTCTTCCAGAGAAGCATGTGCATGCAGGTTACCCAAACAGGGGGATAGTTGAAGCTGATACGTGATTTTGAACAGCTACGTGACAATTCACGGAGCAAAACAACTATCTTTTCTTTCTCTTAAACCACCATCATCCTCATATCGCAAGAGCTCTCCAGCAGGCAGTCTGGGATCACTTACATTAAACCAACTAGAGGGAAGAAGGGAGGCTAAGTAGCACTGTCAAAAGACAGAAGAACTTACAGCAGCATCCACACTCCTCAGTGATCAACTTCTGCATCTTCAAACTGCCCTGCGACGGCTGGCGCTAGATCCACCTCCATCCCGTCTGAAAGAGAAGCAGCCAATGCTACAAAATAGCAGAGGGATTATCGCAGAGCGGACAGCGAGTGCCCTCTGCAGGCGAGAGATTTCCAAAGCAGAAAAAAACTCGGCTGAACTTTGGAAAAAAAGTGTGATGTGAAGCAAAACAGCAGCATCAAAAAGGCTAATGAAATGGCTAAAAACGATTTAAAGATGTGTGATATACTAGCTGCTTGATTTATTTTAAATTTTGAAAATTTGGGGGTTCAGAAACCAGGCAAAAAAAAATAAAGGACATTCCACAAGCATGAGTATGTCATTTAAAGACATCTTTGTATTATATAATTAACAAAGCTCAAGAACAAAGAGAATCTACAAGCAAGTCACTAAAGCAATTAAAGATTGAAAAAAAAAATCATGCAAATGCTTCTCTAAATGTTCTGGATTAGGATCTTATTTGTTTTATTCCAGACAAGCTGATAGCTAGAAACCTACAAGAACTATTTCATTTTCCATCATTAGTCTTAAAACGTGAGGCCGTAGTGAAACACTGAGTTTCATATTATAAAAGCAAGCAGTATCAGTGAACTACTTTGCTATCCTTTTAACAGGTAATGTACTGCTCAGATAAAAACAGCATGCAATAAGGACAAAATCTGAGATATGTCCATCGAAAAGAAATCTTACTCCTTAAATAGCTGTTTAAATAGCTAATGGCATTCAGAAACTACGGAAATTCAGAAACTCTAGCTGTGAACAAAGACGAAACTGCCCTGACACATACAACATGCCCTGACATTACCCATAGCACAGTACTAGCTCATTACCAGCATTTATGGACTGCCCAGACTGGGAAAAAAAAAATACTGCTTTAATGTATTTTTTAGTGTCCAAAAAGCATTATCTTACCTTCAAACTCCCTTATGGAGTCCTCTGTTCGCACTCCTGCCATGTTGTACTGACTGCTCACGGACTGGGCTAACATGCCCTCCAGCCTCTCCAGAGTGGCCTGCCCTTCCGCGGTCAAGTGCGACAATCCTTCCTCATAAGTGTAGAAGCTGGGGATGTCCCCTTGTCCCAGCTCTGCAAAAGCAGGTTTACATTCATCAGGTATAAACGGAGGAGCCTGGACAGAGCAAGGCAGGGGGAACACAGCAACGACTGGACAAATTACGCCGAGATGGGCACTCACAGAGCTACTGAAAAAGGTTATAAAGCTGCTTATGCCAGTAACGTAATGCAACAGTTACATGACTAGGCCATGGCTCAGCAGGGCCATGGAACTCATCAAAACATATTCTCTGTGAACAAGACAGACGCTAATGCCTTGGGGCTTGCAAAAATGAGAACAGGATCTGCCACAGTGAAATTACAGATTTTCTGAGTTTTATACTCTGCTTTTTTACCATAAAGAATGTTTAGGTGATACCAGTAATCAACAAGGGGCTTCTTAACATACGTATAATACAGACAACCATTCTCATGACAAAAACTGCAAGAGAAGTTTGAGGTGTCCAGGTGCTGATGGGTATTTGAAAAGACACAAACATCACTAACCGTGCGCCTCAACATCATACTCCTCCCCTTCGTAATCATTGTCCGAATCTTCATCTTCAGGATCTGGGTGCAGAGCTTGGCACTCGCACATGGCAGAAAACATGGCTTCCACTGCACAAAACAACAGAATTATCTTCTCTGCAAGTGCCAAAGATGATGCTGTTAACCTGTGATGTTCAAAATCTGTTCTGCACAGGTCCAAAATCAAGACACCACGTCTACTCTCATCTTTTATGGCTACTTTCATCGACTTTTATGCCTCAGAAGCTTAGGAAAACTACTAGTGATTTGTAACTGACACAACCTGGTCATGCGTGGGTGTGGGCAGATAATGTGGATCTGCCTTGAAAACACATGGATGCTAGAAGTGACATTGTCCAAAATATACTGGGACACCCAGGGGTTGCAGAGGAGAGAAACCTCCTTATTTCTCCATCAACACCTTGTAACAAAAAGAGCAAGAAAGCTGGGACTGAGAGATCAGAGAAAATGAGACTGTTCTTTTACCAAAACAGCCACAGAACTATTATTTGATCACATTACCCAACGAACCAGCAGCCAAGCTAAAACCAAATCAGGTTCCCTAGACCCAGTCTGGTGCTTTATCCTATATCTCTGTATCTGAGTGTCTTCCGTAAGTAATGAGGAATATAAGGCACTGGAGCATTTGTCATATGAGGAAAGACTAAACGAGCTGGACCTGTTTAATCTGCAGAAAAGAGGGCTGAAAGGGGATTTGATCAACATGTTCAAGTATCTGAGGGGTGAACGTAGGGAGGATGGGGCTAAACTGTTCTCCACAGTGCCCAGTGACAGGACAAGGTGTAATGGGTGCAAGTTCAAACACAGGCAGCTCCATGTCCATGTGAGGAAGAACTTCTTTACTGTGAGGGTGCCAGAGCCCTGGAAAAGGCTGCCCAGAGAGGCTGTGGAGTCTCCTTCTCTGGAGATCTCCAACCTGCCTGGATGCCACCCTGTGCTCTGGGTGTCCCTGCTGGAGCAGGGGGCTTGGACTAGATGATCTCTAGAGGTCCCTGCCAACCTTAAGCATTCTGTGATTCTGTAATATTAACACTTTGGTCAAGCACTGAGCTTTTAGTTGGGAAAAGCTAGAATATGAGTTTCCTCTTCACTTACAGGCTGACTTGTCACTGGGTACAAATCTGAATTCTGCAATTGGTTCAGTATCGTCATCACTGTCTTCAGCCTCTTCCTCCTCCTCCCCTTCAGCCATGGGCGCTTCTTTTGCATTGTCTTCTTTTAAAAAGATGGAAAGATGTAAAAGAAGCATGTTTATTTTGTCAAAAAAGAGGGAAAAAAGAAAAAAAAATGCTTTCAGAAACATATGTATAATCAAATCAGAAACCTGCACACAAACTGCATGTGTTCTGTAGGGGCTCGTAAGGCTTAAGTCCCATAAACATTGATAAAATGCAGGGAGATTTTAACCCCCTTTTAGGAACACCGTGTTCCTGGAAACACTGCTCCCCTCTCCTCCTTATTCCCAGTTTATATGAGGTTGGAAAAGGCCCTAACAAAGCAGCTCCCACCCCCACGCAACCAGCAGCCTCCCACGCAGTGACACACAAAGCTTTAGGGACTTCAGGTTTTACTATAGGATTCGCAATTCACCAGCCTCAGATTCTTGTTAAAAACAGCTGTGTTCAAAACAACTGTAAATAATTCACCATTATTTACCTGTAAGGTGCTAAAACTAATTCTCTTCAACAGATAAATTTTATGAATCCTTAACATTGCTGTCATGAAAGCGACTAACTTCCAGTTTGCCTTTCTCAGAGGTCTGTGGCACTTGTGGCAGATCTACACTCAATTCCTCCATCTCCTGGCCAGCAAGCAAGACTTACAAGTAGAAATTATACAGGGAGAGAAGACAACCATGGGCACAAACCTGCTCCCCAACTTGTGTGAATTACAGACTTGCATAATGAAGCAACACTGAAACATTTTATTTTCTGTAGACACAAAAATACAGAGTAGATACTTCTGATGCGTCACTTTGTGACTGGGAGCTGACAGCTTCAAAAGCACAGAATCCCTTTCAACAGAAAAACAGAAACGCAGCAGGGCTGCTCCCCAGAGCAGATACAAAACTGGCCACAACGTCAAGGATACTCAAGAGCCAAGAAGCTGCCAGCCAGCTGCCTCCAAAAATAAAATGTCCAGGGAAGAGACCCAATCCAACGGACACCAGCAGGCACAGCTTGCTGCTAAGCCCAGCTCTGCACTTGATGAAGCCACCCTCTTCCCAAATACAAAACTAATAAAAAAGGGGAGGAGAAGCAGAGACAAGGCACATCCACACACAGAGCATAACGAAAACTTGGAAAGGGACAACAAAACATACCCTACCCAGCTAAGAACTCATGACTCCTTTTTATTACCCTTAATAAAAGGCCTTCCAAAGGCAAAAACAACAACAATAAAAAAGGCAAAAAACCCACATTTGATACCCCAAACCCAAAAAACTCAAGTAAGCAACGAAATTAGAAGGTTTTCTTTCTCTAGGTCATAAAGAAACAAGATTAGCTAAAAGGTTAAATTTTTAATTTGGTTGGAAATTTTTGTAGATTTGTTACACCTGGTAACAAATCATCCTTATTACAAATCAATTTTAAGAGAAATGAAAATAAAAGCTTCCAGGTTAGTATGAAACAGCAATGCAGAAGTGCACAGATGGGACTATAATCCGAGTGACACTGCGCTTCTAAAATAACCATCCTCCATAGACTCAAAAAAGACAAAACACAAGAGACTATTTAAACGAACGGTATCATTTTTGAACCACAACCTACTGGTTTTGTAGCTGGGCCATACCTTCAAATTTGGCGTTCACCATGACATACAGATGCTCCCATGGGTAGGCGTTTAGATCCCTGGAGACAGCGTGTAAACTTATAGTGGGATAATCCAAGGAGAACCCAAGACCAGAGTTATCCAGCCAGGACAGGCGACTAAAAACGGGAAGAAAGAGACAAGAGACTCCCTGAAGAATCTGAGACACGTGGCTCACACCTTCAGGAAAGCAAAGCGACCCAAACAAAAGCAGTAATTCTTCAGGAGGTGGACAAGGCACTTACTCCACTCTGCCGATACGTGATCCTTGCCACAGAGCAGCTCATATTTAAAGGCAACAGAACCCTGTTCATAAGGAATGTGAATCTGAGCTCCCTGAAAAAAATCCAGCTTTATGTGCAATAAAGACTGTTTTTTTTTTACTCTCTAGCTCTTTATTTTCTATGCCTGGTAAGTAGATACCACCGCAGAGGTATCGGCAGAGCACCAGGGTATAATTTGTAACTCAAACTGTCAAACGTTTGGCGTTTTCTCAAGGTCGAGCGTATGCTAGGGAAATGAGATCACAATTCCTGCAGGATTATAATTCCAATGTTAGACCAGCTGCTACAAACGAGCTGCACGTGGGAAAACAGTTTGTTTCCTGACCAGCAGGACAAAACGAAGGTTTTATCCGATGCCTTTTGTGCTGTAACCTCCAATTCCCCACATTTTCACTCCCATCCCTAACCACAACTTGAGGCAGAACAAGTCGGGTCCAGCCTAGAGTTACACAGTTGCCAGAGGGCAGCCTCTTTCCTATGGGAGAAATCCCTGTCTTTCAGGTGACAAATCCAAGGAATGTCTGGGAGGACATTTTGGGCATATATAGGGAATATTTTTGGAGTATTTTGGCAGAAATTGAGACTATTGAGTCAAAATAAACCAGATGAAACGGGTTAAAAGCAAGAGTTAGCAGAGTGGGAGCGAGGAATTCCTCTCCTAACCCAAATCAACCCATTTTCAGCGTTCACCGTTAACGCAGACACAACACTTGGATGCAAGGCCTTCCCCGTGCTCCAGAGCACCCAAATCAAAGCAGCAGCTGAAACTGGGGCCGGGCTCCGCCGCGAGAGGAACGCGACAGACAGGCGCTAGCTCGGGTTCACAAAACGTCACCCGCTCTGGGGCAGGTTCGGGGTCTGAACGCTTTAAAAGATGAGACGCTCGCCAGCGCAGGCCTTGGATCACCTGGTGCTTCCAAAGACACTTTTACATCGCGAATGTGTATAT